CAACAAAATGACAGTGCTGCAGAGGACCTTGTTGCAGCTGAGAATCCAATCCCTGCCCGCATGCAAGTGTACATTGTCATTAACAGTCTCCCTCCATCTTGAAGCCTGTTGTAATTGCATTAAACCACTTAGCACAAGCGATAACTAAGTTGAATCTTCTCATGAACCTCAGTATTGAAGCTAAGAGAAGAATGAGGAAGAAGTCAAATGAGCTTCACTTTGCTCAAAGTTCATCTTCTCAAATTCCCAAAAAACCACACAATAATCAGAAAAATAACAATAATAGGTATTAGGGAAAGGGGAAAAATTTAAAAAATCACAAGAATAAGGCTGACAAAACATGTTTTTATTGTAAGAAAACTGGGCACATCAAGTTTAATTATCCTAAGCAGAAAAAAAAAAATAGGAACCAAAATAACAATGATCGAAATAATAATAATCAAAATAAAAAAAATGATTTGATCTGCATAGTTTAGAATCAGCCAACCATGACTAGAGGAATTGGTGGGTCGACTCAGACTCCACTCGATATGTTTCGATGACCAATGACAGATTCATCGAGTTGACGGAGATCGCAGATGGTAACCAACAGATTTATACGGGAAATGATACCTATTGCGATGTACTTGATGCCAGTACTTTTAAGTTGTGTCTATCTGGAGGAACGAATCTCCTACTTAATGATACTTTGTATGTACCCAATATGAGGCGCAATTTGATTTATGTTCCTAGGCTAGACGACAAAGGCTATGAAATAAAGTTCAGGTCTCGTTGGGTCACAATTGGTAAACATTCTCGAGCATTATTGTATGGTATTAAAGTTGATAATTTGTATTGATTGAACATTAATGAAAATTCATATTATTATGCTTCCTTTATATTTATGTGTGTGTGGATGATTCATATTTATGGCACTTAAGATTAGGACATAAATAAATAAAAAACGACAAAATACTCCCCAACTTAGGAGAAAATGTGTTCAAAACATGCGATCCCTGAATTTTTGGTAAATTAACCAAGAAGCTTTTTCCTAAAGGGAAAAGGTCTACTAAATTACTTAGTATTGTTCACTCTGATATATGTGGCCCATTAAATGTAAAAACACATAGAGGTATGAAATATTTCATAGCATTTATAGATGATTATTCTCGTTATGGATATGTATACTAAATTACTAGCAATTCATATGCATTAGAAACATTTAAAGAATATAAAACTGAGGTAGAAAACTAGCTAGGGAGACAAATTAAAATTCTTAGAATAAATAGAGGAGATGAATATTGCTCCGACTTATTTACTGATTTTTTAAGGAGCATACACCAAACTACCATACCATGTACACCACAACAAAATGGTATGACTGAAAGAAGAAATAGAACTCTAATGGACATGGTTAGGTCTATGATGAGCCCTTCAGATTTATCATCTCATTTTGAGGTGAGGCTCAACACTGCAATGTACATTATTAATCGTGTCCCAACTAAATCCATAGACTTGACCTCCTATGAATTATGGAGTAGTAGGAAACCTGACCTTACTATCTTGAAAGTTTGGGGTTTTTGGGCACATGTGCTTGTACCACCATAAAATAAAGATAAACTATAAAGTAAAACTATCAAATGCTCCTTTATAGGTTATTCAGATAATTCTAAGGGCTATAGATTCTATAGTAATGATATTTTTTTTTTAGTAGATTCTATAACCATGATATTATATCCTTAATTGAGAACCGTGATGCACCTTTCCTAGAAAATATAGATGATGAACGTACTTTAAATAATCTTATTGACTTAAACGAAATTGATAAAGATGTGTCTAGAATTGGTAAGAATGATTTAATTGAAACTAGTATACCAGATAAACCTAAAAGAATTAGAGCCCCATCTACCACTTTAGAAGAATTTTATGTGTTCATGAATGAAGATAATTATTTTCCCATGAGTGAAGATACAATAGATGAAACTCAAAGCTACAGTGAAGCTACTAGTTCACATGACTCAACTCAAGCCATGGATGATGAACTTGATTATATTAAAAGGAATCAAGTTCGGGAGTTGAATGACCTCCCTAAAGATAGAAGCCATTGGTTGCTAATGGGTCCTAAAGAAACAGCTTAATGCAAATGGATTCATAGATAAATATAAAGCTAGGTTGGTAGCTAAAGGACTTGCCCAAAAGAAGGGTATAGATTATGTATAGACTTATTCTCCCGTAGCAAAATTTTCATCTATTAGGATCATCCCAACATTACTTGCATATTATGATCTATAATTATTTCAGATGTCAAAACAACTTTCTTGAATGGAGAATTAAAAGAAGATATATACATGAGACAACTAGAAGGAAATGTAATTAAAGGCCAAGAAGACAATATACAAACTTAAGAAATATTTATATGGTCTAAAACAGTCTTATATGCAGTGGTACTTCACCTTTCATAACACAATCACTGAAATTGGTTATGTAGCCAATAGATTGGACCATTGTGTATATGTCTAGAATAATGAGAGCAATTTGTTACCATATCATTATATACAAATGATATTTTGCTATCTGGTAATGAAATTGGCAAACTTAACCATACCAAATCATGGCTAAGTTCTCACTTTGAGATGAAAGATACGGGAGAAACCCTATATGCATTAAGCATTAAGATAACAAGAGATAGAAGTTCGAGACTCCTATGTTTATCTCAAGAAATTATTTAGAAAGTATTTTAAAGAGATTTAAGATGGAAAATTGTAAGCCCATATATACACCCGTTTGTAAAGACTTGAAATTGTCAAAAAAAATATATACACCCGTTTGTAAAGACTTGAAATTGTCAAAAAAAATGTGTCCATCAAATGACAATGACAAATATTAAATGAAAAGAATTCCATATGCTCAAGTTGTAGGATGTATAAATTATATCATGTTGTGTACAAGGCTTGATTTGAGTCACACATATAGTCTTGTCAGTAGATTTCAGAGTAATCCTGGGATGCTTCATTGGCAAGCCGTAAAAAAGATACTCAAGTATATTAAAAAAACTAAAAACTACAAATTGTGCTTCCAAGCTAATAACTTAGAGGCTCCTGGATTCTCTGATGCAGACTTTGTAGGAGACCCAGATTATAGAAAATCAACCTCAAGACTTGTATTTCTCTTTGGATCTAGATGTGTTTCTTGGCCTAGAAAGAAACAAGGTTGTGCAACTCAAAAGCCAAGTATATTGCTTGTAGCATTGCTATAACTTATGCCGTCCAAATTAAACGCTTCATAAATAATTTGAAGCTGGATATAACAAATGGACCGGTTAAAATCTTTTGAGATAATCAGGCTGCCATCTCATCAATTAGAAATGGAGACTATAGCTCCAAGGGTAAGCACATTGAAATTGACTATCATTATATTTATGATATTATTAAAAAATGAAATAACCGTAAGTTATTTGCCATCATCCAATATGATTGCAGACCCTTTAACAAAGGGATAAAGTGCAGAAATATTTTCAAAGCATGTAGCTTTGATGGGACTTTGGAACATCTAAATCAAGAATTCCCAAATGGAATATTTTTTCTTTGATGTTTTGGTCATGAGAGGAAAAGCCAAATTAGTGTGAAGATTTATCTGAAGAGAAATTAGAAGAAATTTATAAAGTGTATGTTTCATGTCATTATCCAAATCTATCACAACTCAAACACTAGGCCACAAGCCTCGAATTTGCATTACCTAAAAATGGGATGAGGAGGGTCCAGCCAGATTCACCTCAAAAGGGAGGGATTTTGGAATGGTAAATGCAGCTCCAATCAAAACCCAATCTTGGGCTTGGATATGGTGATCTCTACCCCAGATCTAGTAGCTAGGTACTGATCCATTTGGCCTAAACCACCTACCATATATGAGGGAGGTTAGTATCACTCAGCTTTGATCATGCGAGAGGTTAGGGTGGTGTGGTATTGGTGCATGATGCACGCACAGGTGGGCTACTGGCTAAAGAACCCTTGATGCAAGATCTTGGGCAAAGAGTTTTGAATAGGTAGCTAAGGCTAAAGAAGCAGTGGTTTGGTTGGATAGACCCTGGAGGGCTCAACCTAACAGGACATGGGTGTGGACCATGTATAAGGGGTAGGCTTTCCATACACGTGGTTGGACAGGTGTGTAGACCGTAATGGTCATGATTGGGATGATTGTTGACCGTGGGCACCCAAGCTGAGCAAGCGCCAAGTTCAAATTCAAAAGTAGGTACACGTGGAGGGCAGGCCAGAGATGTGGGCACAACCATTGGGCGTTGGTCAACTAGGATGGGGAGACAGTTACGGAACTGCCTTAGGTTGATTTGCCAGCTGCCCATGAATCAAGGACGAGGGAAAGGTAGGTAGTTAAGATTGAGGGACTATAATAACTGACCCAAGGAGTGGGTTGTTGCTAAGGGACCAGGTGGGCTGCTAGTGAGCCACCAGGTGTACTTGATCAGGTCATGCACAAAGGCTAATCACCACGTGTATGAATTTGAATCTTGAACAGTATTAAATGGTGTCTATATAAACCCCTAACCCAGACTCTTGTAGACCATGTGTGGCAACATACTCCTATAAGTGTACAAAGTAATAAAGTGGTATATAACCCTTGACTTGTTAGCTTGTGCGAGAGACCCTTGTTGTGTGATTGTCATGTTCACTTTTGTCGCATGTGGAAGGCTGGCCAAGCCTTACTTATTGCAATAATTAGGCTTGGCGCCGCATGGGTTAGGTAGTGAGAAAGTGCCTCTGTGACAGCTAGTCTCAGGAAATGGTTGATGAAGGACAAAAGCCTGAGAGAAAAGAACATAGGGAAAGTAAAGCAATTACTTCTTAAAAAAGCTAAGAATCAAAGGTAAGCATGGAATTGTAAGCCAGCTAACATAAATTTCAGGTCCTAGTTAGTTTGCATTGCATGACATTAGCTCTTTCTAACAAACTCAACATCAAACAACCAAAAGAGAGAGAAGAAAAAGTAAAAGAAAGAAAATCACTCACTTGGCAACAGAACATTCTTCAAGATGTTTCCCGCTCTCTGAGACTCCAACTTTGTCCATGTTCAATTTCAACCCCCCACCAGTCCCACCTCCAAACGGCTGTGCATATCAACAAACGTATATAGATAAGTTCATTTTTTTCCTTTATTAATTTGGAGAAGCACAATATGCTTTAATCATCCATTTGTGAACAAGGGATATGTGGTCATGATGGTCATTACCATGAAGCATGACAAATAGTGATTAAGAGAAAGAGATGGGCCCCCAGAACATCAAAGTGGATTCCACTGTCTCTAATCAGCATCCAACATGTTGATTGGAAGGTGATGATCCTATGACCATGCATCTCCTATAGTCCTGAGCAGACAATATGCTTTTTCTAATTTTATGAGGGGAGTTAATGGAAACGAACATTTATGAGGGGAGTTAACGAAAACGAACATTAAAGATACCAAAATTCATACTTAGTGAATCTCTCAATGCAACACGAACAAACATTGAGAATATTAGTTAGATAAAATGGATCTGTAGTTTTTTCAAATTGTAGATGGTCATTTGTTATATACACCAGATTTTTACATACTGCACTTAAATCATTTTGTCATTCAGTTTAGTTTGGCTGCCTTCAACAGCTCATGGCCAAGGCCATGATACCATCCATGGCACGCATATGCTTTCCCATATACCTCCAAAAAAACACAACAAATCACTATATTCTGCACTGTAAGCTTCCACATTCTTCACATGGAGCTTGAACCAGGAGCCAAAGATAATGTAAACCCTAAACCAAGCACATGCATAACATTCATGGACGACTTCACATGCAACAGAATCTCTAACGGAGACATGGTTGCTCTTTTATCATGAAGAAAAAAAAAATATTTGTAGACATGTTTTAGAATTCTAGCAGTAAAGAAAATACAGAAATCCATATTAAGGTTAATCACAAAAGGAATGCCATCAAACTGAAATAGGATTTATCAGAATTAATTAAAAGAATACCCAGCCAAAAACACTTCAAACTGAATCCAAAGACCCTTTCATCAAAACAGAATATAATTCCAGGAATTTCAAATATTTCCACAATGATTTACCCAAAATCCATCAAACTCAAAACACATTTTTTCCTGCATTTACAGTTAAAATTTTGATCCAAATGAACTCAGTCTTAAAGCCAAATAAACTCTATATTTCTAAGAAAACAAGAATTTTGAGTTCACATTTACGAGCCGTGCTAAAATCAATAGAACATAGAATCATCATCATCATCATCATCATCAAAATGTTTGCCTTAAAGTTTATTACACTAACAATCCTTGATTGCATCATCATCATTAAAATGTCAACCTGAACTATATTATGATGCCAATTCCCAGATAAACCAAATGTTAACCCTGTACTATATTATGATGCGAATAACCAAGAGGTCAAGACTCTGGAGAGAGAGATGGGGAACATTAATGAAATAAAGGAAAGAAAAACAGGAGATTAAGAAACCAATCAGCACAGAAATCAACGGCATACTAAGAAACAATCAGCACGGATAAAAAAATAAAATTAAAAAAACTATTCAGCATTTGTAGAATTTACCTGCAATGATATTGGATAAGATGAGAAAACTAAAACATAAAATTTGATTACAGCTCAGAGAGTAAAACTTAAAAATCAAATCACAGCTCAGAGAGTAAAACCTAAAAAATCAAAACAATAAAATATGAAGGGAACCAGAAAAGTAAATTCCAGACATTTTTCAATGGCGTGGGGTTTCCTCTCTGAGAATGATCAATATTCTTCTGTCTCTTACTCAATATTTCTCTCGCACTACAGACAATTGTAACTCTTAATATTGATTCTAGGGTTCTTAGAATACCAGAAAGAAAAGGGCTCTCAATTAAAACTTCGGGGAATAAGCCAAGGCCTGGAATGTGAGGGAGTGATGCACACCTTACGGAAGGCGCACAGCGTGAAATAGTTCCGATCGCTGAGTTTCTGAGCGCTGAGTTCCAGTTCGCAATGAAAAAGGGCAAACCGTTCCGAAACGTCCCAGGAGTGGTCGGTGACCGTTACGACTTTCTCAATAGATAGGGTCCCGAGCGCTTCTTGAAAGAACCGGCCGGTTTGGTTCGCGGAACTCGGCAATTCGGCACTAGAGAATTAGTTGCCCTAATAATTAAAGGAACAATTTTTTTTTCTTTTTTTCCCGTCTTGTGAATTTAAAGCCTTTTTTTTTTTTGAAATTTTGTCATTATTCATGATTGAATAATGCTCGTAAAATCACCAAACAGGTATGGCTTTGAAGTATTTTGAATCAAACAGGTATGGCTTTGAAGTATTTTGAATCAGATTAAGGGAAATTCGGGTTTAGTTAAGCTTGGATTTGAGCAGTTCTTAGAGCGAGATCAACTCAAATATCATGTAGAATGAGTTAAATTTATGAAATAGCAGAGAGAGTGAGATCGTTCAAATTATAAGCTTGGAGACATCGCAAATCTATACATATTCGATTCTTTTTCTCAATCTATTGGCAGCTCCAGCTTCAAAATCTATGTATATCGTTTTTTAAATACTCTTAAAATTTTACTACCTTAAAATAACATAAATTTCAAATAAAAATAAATAAATTAAAATTAAAAAAAACTAAACTAAAGAGGAGGAGGAAGCACTTGCCTTACCGACTTGAAACCGGAAGTTTAGGGCTTGGATCAGGCTGTTCTTCCTGTTCTACCATTTCCTCTTGGGATACATTTGCTTGTTGGAATTTTGATAGATCTAAGGCTTTTTTACCTAGATCTAAGGTTCCTAAGGCTTGAAGAAGACTTAGGGATTTATGTAAGGTTCACCTAAATTTTTCTAAGATTGAGAGATGGTTTTCCCTAATTTTTTAAAGGATTTGAGTTCTCCTATTTTCTAATCCAAATTTTGCGATTTGATATGCTAGGGTTTTATCCTATTTTCTGGAATTTTCCCAATTTCAATTTTCTAATCTATGTTTCAATGTTTTTTTTAGATTTTCCCGATGATTTTGGATGAAGTATTTATAGGCTGAAGTAGGGTCAAGGTTGAAATTAGATTGATTCGATCTAAGGGTCCAGATTCAGTAAAAAGTTCTCACAATTTCATATTTTTCTGAAGCACTCGCATAATTTTGACTAATTCTAAATAATCGGGAAAAGTCCCCACCGCCTCATGCCCATCAGGTTGAGCGAGGCGTGCGGCCCGGGCAGTGGTATTTTGGTAAATTTGCTCCTTGACATTGTCAAACTTCCAACTTTTACTTTGTAGGTCCGTTTTGGATTATTCTTGGCCCAATGGAAAGCTCTCAGGGTCTACTATAATTTGAAATAGGTTTTGCAAAATTTTGGGATTATCAAACTGGGTTTTAAGTGCACTAGGGCTCACTAGAGCTTGTGTGGTCATTCAGGTTAATAATCATAGTTTTTAGGAGTTCCCTTAGCTAGAAGTTTGAGGGGGAGTTTAAAGTATCCCTCTTTTGTATTCACAAAGAAGTAGACACCTAAGACACAATGGAAAGAAAAAAAATATTGAGGAGTCATCCTTTTGAATGACCAGTGCCTTTTAGGGAGGCAATATGCCAATGGATATTTTTTATCCATAATACATCGATTTGAAAATGCACTATCTTTAAGGCTGTGGTGGCAGCAGGAACAACATGTCTAAGCCCATTTTAAAACTCCTTCATTTTTTGAAACATTTTAGAAGATTTTGAAAATATGAAGAGTTTTAAAACAAATGCAGAGTTTCAGGCGAATATTTAACTAAAGAAATTAGAACTTCTGAGATCTTCACAGGAACATATAAGGGAATTTTAAAGATAGGGGGGAATTTTGAAAATATTTTATTCTAGTTAGCTTTTCAGCTCTTGCAACCATGGAGCCCTTTAAGCAGTTTCATGTCATGCAGTGATGGACGGATTTTGTACATGCCCCCGACTCTTTTTCATAGCATAGGTTTGATGTTGAATTCAGATATTGAGTACCTAGTCTTTGTGTTGTCATATAGGTTAGACGTCTTCCTATTTCGACCTTTTTCATCGCACGAGTTTAACATTTGATTAAGATAGATTTCTCGACTGTTTCACATCGCACGCGTTGGATGTCTTGGACTGAGTTTTGATTTTGGATTGCTGGTGAGCCATGTCAACTCGAACCAAAGAGGAACTTTTGAATTTTGTGATTCTGAAGATGATTGATGAAGGGTCTTTGTTTCAGATTTTCCTGAAATGGAATGTGTCACACATGGTGGAGGGCTACCTGTGACTATTTTGTGCGTCATTTGGAGCCGATTTCACTTTTTCTAGGCATCAGATCCTTGATTTTTCATTTGCCTTGATTTTCACTATTTTTCTACACTTTTAGGGCATTTTTCCTGTGCGACACACCGAATGCCACACTTGAGTCCAATACCAGTAGGGTGCGCGTTTTTTGCCCTCTTGTGTCCTATTTTGACCTGGATTATTATTTATCTTGTGTTTCTATCAATATGGCCTTTGTTGGATAGATTTTCTTCATTTTAAACTCGTTCTCTTCCTTGGTTTTCTTTTAGAGCTCTTTTCTTCTCTCTTCTTTCAATTTCCAGCAATGTTTTTAGGTCTTCTTCTTTAATTTACAAAAAAAATGTTGTCCAATGGCTCCAAAGAGAAGTCTTCTACTATCATCTATAGAAAAGGAGAAGGAGGAATCGTCATCTTCCTTTTGAGAGGTATGCCACTTTCCAAATTCTCTTACTGTTCACATTTTTGGTAGCATATTGAGAGGAGTACAAGTGAGAGAAGTACAAGTTGTTCCATTCTTCATGCCTTGTTTTACTCTTGGTATGATTCATCATGTCAGTGGGAAGATTTTAAACATTTTCTTAGAATTCACTCCCCCTAGGGTGCCTTTCTTATGGCTCTAACGCATATCAATTTTTCCATGATTGAGGCCCTGGCTGAGAAGCTCAATTATAATTTTTAACTCCTTTTTCTTCTCAACTATGGAAGCCACATTGACTTTGGAGGAGATTGCCAGAATCTCATGCTTGTCTCCGGTGGATGTCCTGTATCAACGTCTTTCTTACACAGATAATCACTCGATCCTCAGTAAAAAAAATTTAAGGGCTGGTTTTGCTCCTTCTAGGGATTGGATCGATATGGAAGATTTGGTTGCTTGTAAGGATAGATCATGTTTGCCTAGAAGGGCTCATCTTTCTTCCTACGGGTATTAAGATATATCATAGCACTCTAGTGCATTTGGTATCAACTTTATGGTGGGATTCTGGAACTTCTATTGTCCACTGTGTTGGCAGTTATTTATTAGGCTATTTACGGTAGGGTGGTGTATGACCACCAATATTTGGAGGGAAACATGATAATTATGCAAGTAACCTTTTTCTTGTCTTTATATCTAATTTTATTTGGATCTCATAGTTTACCTTCCATATTCTTCTATTTTTGTTTTTATTTTGAAAAAAACTCTTAATAATGTTTTATTATTGGGGATTGTTTTCATGACTGTACTTTTTCTCTTCTGGGCAGGCTTGGGCTTTTGAGCACATTGTCGTGCTCTGTCCTCCAGTCATAATTCATATTACTACAACAAATGTCAGGGCTCTGGCTTATATAAACACTCGAATGGAGATGGTAGAAACTAGTTCTTATAGAGAGATATTGGATAATCTTTCCGAGTTTCAATGGGTTTTCCGTGGCTTAAAGGATGCCATATTGACTTTGCCCCACCCAAGCCACTCTTATACAGTACTTAGGGGTCAATTCTTCATGGAACACTATTTTCCTCAGAGGGTGTTGAGGCAATTCAGATTCAATAAATATCATGTGGCCCCTCTATCTGATGTTGTTGATCAGCAATCCCTTGGTTCTTCATTGTTTCAGTCTTTCGAGGTCAGTTGTACTTACTTGGAAGGTACGAACTACTTTCAAGAAGGATGGTCTGACAAACAAGAATGATCCATCGTGTTCTCAAATTTATCGATCATGGTGGGAGATGTCTTGTCCTCAACATCTTACAAGCACTCATACTCTTTCAACTCCTGAGGTTGTTGTACCTCAACCTCCTACCAAGAAAGCTAGACCAAAAAATTGGAGGGAACTAGCTACCATAGAAGAAATACAGACTTTGTTCTCACGCTTGCATGCATCGATAGAGGCTCAAGGTGCAAATGAAGGAATAGGTAAAGATGACATAGGGGAAGATGGAATGGAGGGCTATCTTGATCTTCCTAAGGAGAACTAGGATTTTAACTTTTCAGTCTCATCTTTTGAGCTTTATTTTCCAAGTTTCCCAATATAGTCAATGGAGTAGATGGAGGAAAATCTATTGTAGAGACTCATTTTTCTAAAATTTTTCTACTCAGAATTTCTTTGAGTGAATAATAAAGTTTATTTTCTCAAAGGATGATCCCTTTCTCTTTTTCTTGGGTCCAAGGACCATTTTTCCCTATACTATTTTTTTGGATTTTTCTCCTTTTCTCTTTCTTTTTTTTTTCCCATTGGGGTACAAGGTCCATTAGGCCCTTGCCCCTTTTTCTTTTCATTTTCTCATCATCATTTTCTTCTTCTTCTTCTTAGAATCCGTACGGACCGACCATGGGGGGTATGTGACACGCAGCGTATCGCACATTGCGCAACACTCCCGACGCAATTATATAACGTTGGTGCCGATGGTGTCCCCCATTTCTTGGTTTTTCTTTCTCTCTCTCTTCTTTTAGAGTTTCAAACCCGAGGGCCACTAGTTGTCCTTTTTGCATGATTTTTGTATCCTTTGGGGTCCACTACACCCTATCTTCCATGCTTAGTCATCTTTTAGGCTCCATACCCTATATTTCAATATGGGTGATTAGGGACAATGGTGGCTTGGAGACCATACGTTTCTAACGTGAAGGGAGAGTGCTAGGTACACAATTTCTTTAGTTTCTTAGTACATTTTTTTCTATTTTACTTCATTTTTCTTCCTTTTAATGAATTGCCCTAAATTTTAATTCATTTTCACTTGAAAAACTAGGAACTTGGGCATCCATTGAATGAAATTTTTTCTTTTGAATATGAGTTTTAATATGAAAATATGCATGCAAGTGTTCGATAGCATGCTT